ATGATCCTAACTCATATATTTAGGAATGAACGTAGCTTCTATAGATAGACCAGGGAGTTTCGGATCCTAACAATGAGTCTAGGCATCCTAGTCCTAAACTTTCTTTTATAAGTATATCGAACACCTATAATTTTTTGATGTTTATGATTAATAATTGGTTGAAGTCTTATGATATTTGAGATTCGTAAGACTTAACACCTTTCCAAATTTTATTATTTGTCGTGATGAAATTTGGACAACATATAATGATAATATTTTCCAGGTTTCCACCAATGTGAAACCAACAATTCCCATAACATTTATAATTCACGTTATTAATATAATGCGATATTTCGCAAATAACGACTCTTAAGTCGTGAAGTCGATCATGTTATTTATTACAGTAAAAATCCATAACTTAGTAAATTGAGTTATACTTTTATAATTAATATAAAAATATATTAACATATTTTCCATTCGTTTTTACATAACTTTTATATATATTAAAAGTTAATCTTTCAATAATTTAAACTATTAATTATATATTTTTATAATCTTGGTCTTTTTATCAATTATGACCATGTACTTTCATTTTATACTCGAATAATATTTTTGGTCATTTGTATATATTTTCGTACTTCCAGTCGATGCTTTAACTCATACATATAAAATTGTCATTTTTATGACTTATAATCTTAACTTGTGTTATCATAGCAAACTATCCAAAATCTTGTGATTTTTAATATTATTAATTAATATATCACAAGGAAGGATAATTATGTCATTTATAATATTCTACTTTAACTTATATGATTTATACAATTTAGATTACTAATTCATAAACTTTCGACCAATAATAAAGTATGATGCTATCTATCTATTTATATCTATCTATATCATACATACTTATAAAGCTAGTATTTTTTTTCTTGAATCTCATGCATTTGAAACCCTTTTTTTTTAACTTTCTCAAACCACATTCATTTGAAACCCCTTTTTTTAACTAATGCAACTCAAAAGTTTTCTTAATTATGATTTAACACTCAAAAATTTTATAACTTATATTATGTTTAATTAGCATTTAGTGAAAAATTTACTATAAAAAGACCAATCTTTTGGAAATAAATGCATACAAATCATATACAAATTTCAGAAAGAAAACAAACTTAAAGATTTTTTTATTGGGTTGAGGTCTTATGACCACTTTAGAGATATGTTATTATATTAGAGCTTTTAATTTGTAAATTTGTTATATAATTTGTTTTTATATTTTCTTCGTTTTTAGATTATTGTAATACAGTTGTTGTATATTGTGGTTTAATCATATGCTGATCATATGTTATATAGGGTGATGCCAAAAATATTTTAAATATGTTTTTTTTGTAATTGTACCATTTCAAAAAGGTAATTAATTAAACTCATACATATGTTATACTTTTCATCTCTCTCTCTCTCTCTCTCTCTCTCTCTCTCTCTAGAAGTGTTGAGTGTTAAATCATAATTAAGAAAACTTTTGAGTTGCATTAGTTAAAAAAAAAGGAGTTTCAAATGAATGTGGTTTGAGAAAGTTAAAAAATAGGGTTTCAAATGCATGAGATTCAAAAAAAAATACTAGCTTTATAAGTATGTATGTATGTATGTATATATATATATATATATATATATATATATATATATATATATATAGCGGTCAAAAAAAACCTACAATGCATCGTATACAAGATACATTGATGCGTGCCTTGCAAAGCATCAAAGAAAAGCATACACATCTTACCGCATTAGTGAAATTGCATCGTATTGGATAGTGGATGCATTTTCCGGAACACATCACAACGTATCACGCATCACAGCGTTTGATGTGCTTTTTTAAACCATTAGTATTGCAATTGGTTTGCTTAGAATAATAGAGGAGCGAGGCTATATACCTAATGCCATAACCTACAACACATTCATCGATAGTCTTTTCAATGATGAAAAACTGGATGACGTTTTGAAGCTCTTTAAAGAAATGGTATTTGAAAAATGGATCCTACCTGATGTGGTGACTTACAATTGTTTGATTCATGGCCTTTGTAAGTATTGTCGGTGGGATGAGGTTTATAAAGTTACGAAGGAATATAGGATCTCCCCAATAGTTGAAACCTACAACATATTATTAGATAACCTATGCAAAGAGGGAATGGCGAAAGATGTAGAAGTTGTAGTTGGCATGATGGAAAAGAGAGAAACATATATCCCGATGTTGTGAAGTACGCTTCAATCATTGATGGCTACTGTATGCGAGGTAAAGTGAGAAAAACCATGGAAATATTTCATTCAATGGGTTAACGTGGTATGGTTTTCTAGATTTTGTTACCTATAACAACAGCTTATTGTAATCATTTGAAGATAGAAGACGACATGCACCTTTTCAATGAAATGACTGAAAAAGGCGTACATCCTAATGAAGTCACATATGGCATCATAATAGATATGGACTGTTTAAGGTTGGGCGTTGTGAAGATGCAAATAAGCTCTTCAAGGAATTGATAGCAAACGGCTTCTCTAGATCTTATCACTTACAGAATAATGTTGAAGGGTCTTTGCGACAACAATCAAGTTGACAATGCATTAGATATGTTTCTTTTGATGAGTAAAACTATAAGTGATCTTAGTTTAGATATTACACATTCATACAACATTTTGATTGATGACTCAAGTAAATTTGAAAATTTCAATAAGGCAATGGATCCTTTCAAGGAAATTACTCTTAAAGGTTTGCAACCTAATGATTAGAGCTTTTTTTAGAGAAGATATTGTGATGGACGCGAAGCAACTGTTTCTAGAAATACAAGGAAATGGCATCCAACTTAATGAAGTCACTTACAACACAATGATTCAAGGGTATATCTGGAATAAGGTCTATGATGATATAGAACTTCTCATGACATAGATGCACATAAATCACTTCTCACTACATGCTTCCACTTGCAATTTAATTGATAAGATACATGATAGATCATTACCTACAACTTTGTTGGAAAAGCTTAGGCCAAAGGAATTTGTGGAGGATCCTTTTCCTGTGGAGGTAAAAATCATTATTTTGCAAGTCTGTTTTATCTGGATTACTATTTGTTGTTATTATCATTAAAATTTATGGTCTTTTGATCTTAATCCTCTTTATTTTTTTCTCATTCAACTTGTTGTTGTAGAAGATGATGTCTGGTATTAGTTTTTTGAGTCCCAATTTGGAAAAATGACACAAGATATGAATTGTACCCTCACCATGACGTATATAATCGCTATCCAATCGTTTTTTTGCACTACTAATTCACGTATATACTTGATGTTTCACATTTTAAGGGTCGTAATATCATATTTGACCAATTTGGCTGATTTTTGATGAACATCTCTTTAGACTTTAGTTGTTTAATAAACATGTAAAAATGTTGAACATAGACCAAAATTATGTTGATTCTAAGCATATAGTAATTAACGGGATATTGGTCTTTTGTCTTTGATTCTTGAATCAACATAATCTTGGTCCATGTTCAACATTTTAACATCATGTTTGTTAACACAAGTAAAATCTAAAGAGATGTTAATCATAAGTTAGCCAAACCGGTCAAATATGATATTGCGACCCTCAAAATATGAAACATCAAGTATATACGTGAATTAGTGGTGCAAAAAAAACAACTTAATACCGATTGTATACGTCATGGCGAGGGTATTGTACATATCTTGTGTCCTTTTTCCACATTGGGACTCAAAGAACTAATATTGGACATCATCTTATGCAAAAAGAAGTTGAATGAGAAAAAAAAAGAATTAGATCAAAAGACCATAAAGTTTAATGATGATAGAAACAAATAGTAATCTAGATAAAACAGATTTGCAAAATAAGGATTTTTACCTCCACGGGAAAAGGAACCTCCACAGATTCCTTTGGTCTAAACTTTTCCAGCAGAGTTGTGGGCAATGATCCATCATGTATCTAATCAGTTAATTGATTGCAAGTGAAAGCATGTAGTAAGAAGTGATTTATGTGCATCTCTGTTACAGGAAGTTCTATATCATCATAGACCTTATTCGAGAGATACCCTTGAATTATTGTGTTGTAAATGACTTCATTAGGTTGGATGTCATTTCCTTGCATTACTAGGAACGGTTTCTTCGCTTCCATCACAAGATCGTCCCTAAAAAAAGCTCTAATCATTAGGTTGCAAACCTTTAAGAGGAATTTCCTTGAAAAGATCCATTGCCTTATCGAAATTTTCAGATTTACTTGAGCCCTCAATCAAAATGTTGTATGCATATGTATCTAAACTAAGATCACTTCTAGTTGTACCCATCAAAAGAAACATATCTAATGCATTGTCAACTTGATTTTTGTCGTAAAGACCCTTCAACATTATTCTATAAGTGACGAGATCTAGAAAAGTCTTTTGCTATTAACTCCTTAGAATAGCTTATCTGCATCTTCACAATGCCCAAGGTTAAACAATCTACATGTATTATGATGTCATATGTGACTTCATTGGGATGTACACCTTTTTCAGTCATTTCATTGAAAATATGCATGGTGTCTTCTATCTTCAAATGATTGCAATAAGTTGTTATAAGTAACAACATCTAGAACCATACCTCGTGAAACCATTGAATGAAATATTTCCATGGCTTTCCTCACTTTACCTCGCATACAGTAGCCATCAATGATTGAAGCGTAAGGCACAACATCCGGATATATATTCCTTTCTTTTCGATCATGCCAACTACAACTTCTGCATCTTTCGCCATTCCTTCTTTACATAGGTTATCTACTAATATTTTGTAGGTTTCAACTGTTAGGGAGATCTTATATTCCTTCAGAACTTTATAAACCTCATCCCACCGACAATACTTACAACGACCATGAATCAACTAATTGTAAGTCACCACATAAGGTAGGATTCATTGGTCTAATATCATCTCTTTAAAGAGATTCAAAGTGTTATCTGGTTTTTCATCATTGAAAAGACTGTCGAAGAGTGTGTTGTATTTTATAGCATTAGGTCTACAGCCTCCTCCTCCATCAGTCCAAGCAAACCAATTGCAATACTATTTTGGCTAACCTTACATAATCCTTTTATCATAGTTAGTTTTGTACATGGCTGCATTTGTTTGACATACCTCTTCTTTGATGGGTTTCTAAAGAATAATTCTGCCTCACCAACTCTATTTGCTTTAATGAATCCGTCCAAGAGAGTGCTAAAAGTGAATCGATCGGGTACGACGCCAAGTTTCAACCCAATACACAGCACACCAAGACCATCCTTCGCTTTACCTAACTTACAGCAGTAGTTAATAGCCAATATTGATCGTGTAAACTTCAATCTTTACACCTCTCACAGTCATTTGTTTAAACATATCAAGGGCACACGAATAAGCCTTCATTCTGGTAATAGCTTGCAACAATCGGTTGAATTTTACTGTTTCATGCAGGGGTTGTCGTTAGATCATTTTATCAAACAGTTTATGGGCATCATCTCACGTATTGATCTTTTCATATATAGATTGGTCACGACCCAATGCCTCATTTAAGGAACAATATGACTGAAAAGGGACTATACAATGTACTCATGAACCTAATTCCAAAAATGAGATACATTGTCATTTTAAACAAGGAAAGAAATGCAAGAATCAGTAATCAGTAATGGGTACCTTCAAATCTAGTTGACTGTCTCGATACAATAAGAGAAAAATTCATTCTTGTATTAGCCATCGCCACCATGAATGTCAACTATTGACTATCTAATTCGTAATTTGTTCACACAAGCTCCAACCCTGTTCACCTTTTTACATTGAAAAAACATAAAAGTCGTTACTTTGAAACAAATATATTTCTATCGAACTTAAGGGTTTTTTTGTAATTATCCTTGGTAAAAATCACTATTGTTTCTAAATTTTTTAAGGTATATTTTGCAGATGTATTAGTATTTTGTGCATGTGTAATCATGTAATTGTTAAAAAAAACAAAAAACAAAATCATGATGTATGGATGTTATTTTGTAATTTATATAGTTATTAAGATTATGAATACTCAATTACACCATTAATGGCTGCCATGCATGAAGATGACACACTCCAAACTTGAGTGAAGTTGCCAAGATTCTAGAAGATACCCTAAATGTAATACTTATCCTATTTTCTATATAAACGATGTGACTACAGAGATTATATTTAAGAATTTTAGGGAATATCTGAATGAAGTAGTTGTAGAAATTTTGCTAAAACTATTTTAAAAGAAATATAAATGGTGATGATTCTATGAAAATAAAAATACATTGAAATAATTCAGCTACTACAGAAAGAAAGGGTACCGTTCTTTCAGGTGAGGAAATGGAGCAGCAAAAAGAGCTTGTTCAATTGAACTAGGGCATCACTAAACCTGATGTTGCTGAAAAAAGAGGGAGATGTTTTAAGTATTATTTGATATTGTGTATTGCTAATAATAAGAAAACCGGAAGTGAAATATTTTTCAAATTAAATGCATAGATGAGAAAAAAAAATTAATCATTAATGTTTCAATGTTATAACAAAAAGAGAAGTAACAACCAACTGCTAAAAATGGGATTATATTTTAAATGAAATGTGTGTTAATAATGAGAAAACTGAAAGTATGATGCTATAATTGGAAAAAAAAAAAAACTCAAAGTAAAGTCTGTCAATGAGAAAAAAAAAGTTTTTTGAAAAAAATGGGATGATTTTTGAAAATGCAATAAGCTACTAATAAGGAAAGTGATGGTAGAATGCTATGATTGGAAGATTTTTCAAAGTAAAATGTATAGATGAGAAGGAAAAGAGTGGTGATGTTTCAATGTTGTAACATTATATCAGAAAGAAAAGTGGAATTACATACTAAAATGGGATTATTTCAAAAATGGAATAAATTGCTAGACACAGGGAGGGTAGGCAATTGGGAAACTGTCAAACTTGAGCACATGTACTTCCTATCTTAACTGTATTGGCTAGTTATTTCTGATAAAAAAAATAAGGATGATTAGTATAAGGATTCATGGTAAAGCAATTAAAAATCATAAATTTGACCTGTAAATATGCGAAAACATTAACCTTAATTAAAATTACATGTAAATGTAGTTTCACTGTTCTTCCCTGTAGAATACTATTCACCTAGTAGGCTACTAGTCTAGTACAAGTATAAAAATACTATCTTATGCTTCTTTCAACATATTGACTAAAAATGCAAAGGGATCAACAAACTCTACCACATATTTTATACCAATACATTAACAAAAACTCAAGTGTTATCTAGTGGTGGCCTGGTGGGGCTAAAGGAAAACTTCTAAATGCTGCAAAAGCTTGTGCATCCATATGTAAAATAAGTGCTACAAACAATTCAATAACCACACTTTCAAGTAGCTTACAATCTACCAATTGATTTTAGACTTTCGATCAACAAAGTTCTAAACCAATCTCTTGTATGTTCATGATTATGAAAGTGTTAGAAAACAGTCATTAAACCCTAATTTGAAAGTAGATCATCCACTATCATATCCATGAAGTTTGAAATCAAAATAAGCAGGTCCTCTACGAATGAGAAGAGAATGGACATGGAAGAAAAACAACAAAAACCATAAACCTAACAAGCAAAAATAAAATGCAAGAGAAGATCACTTAAAGCTCCCAACTAGGGTATGATGATTAAACTATCATATCATAAAATGTCAAAGAATATGACTCCTAAACAAGCTTTCAGAGTGATTAGGTATTTAAATTAGATCAAATCTAAAAAGAAAAACTATACATGCATGATGCATCAAATATCAATAACCATACACAAGTGATCATCAATATAGACTTTGGAAACCAAGATTAACATACAGAGTAAAATAATTGAATATGCTACACGGATCTTTCTTAAAGAGGAGTGCATAAATGATGTTATACATGTCATTGCTTCACCTACATAATTTCAATTGAGAATCCTCAACTAATTTGAGATTAATGACTTCTTGTTATTATGGTACTACAGAGTAAAATAATTGATTAACAAAAGCACACAGAGATACAAAAAAGGAAAAAGGAAGTTAACTGATCAGCACCCTAATGTCACATCCCCAACCAAGGCGGCAGAATACGTCGGACTGTGCGACATAGCTCACGGATCACAAGCAAAATGAATATAAATCCCAAGTTACAACAATAACATTGCAATAGTTATATCTCCCTTTATGGTTCAAATAAATGGTTCAATAATAATAATAATAATAATAATAATAATAATAATAATAATAATAATAAGTTCATAGATTGCCTTAACAGATACGCCGCTAAAACAAAAGCTAGATAAAACTAGGTTTCCTGAAATCCATGAACGTTTCTTTTGCTAAAACTGGTTCAATGATCTCCTGACAATTCATGTAATTTGAGAGTCAACACAAAGGTTGATGAGAGTTACAGGTTTTCTACTAATCGCAATAATGATATATTAAAAGTCTAAAGAGTATTCCTTTTGTAGTTAAAACCATGTTTAATAAAGAGATAAATCATAAATATATTTATACTTGAAATGTTTGTAAAGAGATAAACCATAAGTAAATCCATATTTAAAATGTTTGATAAAGAGATAAATCATAAATAAATCCATACTTAAAATGATTGATAACGAAATAAACCATAATCAAATCCATACTTAAAATGTCTGATAACATATAAATCATGAGTAAATCCATACTCAAAATGTTTGATAAACAGAGAAACCGAATCCATGGTTTCTAGAGAAATCATGAGTAAATCCTTCAAAATGTTTGATAAACAGAGAAACCGAATCTGTGGTTTCTAGATAAGTCATGAGTAAATCCTTACTCAAAACGTTTGATAATTAGAGAAACTGAATATGTGGTTTCTGGATAAAGATTCTGATTAATACCCATAGTTAGTTCTATAACCGAGCTATATGACTAGATATAACCCCTTACGCCGCTTCATTGGACGTCGTGGATAAACTAAAGATAATTATCACCCGCTTCGATTGATCCATCGATGTTATAGCTAGTAACCGCAGATATGGTGTCAACCCGTACAGATCTATAAACATGTATCTCACTCTGAGGATTAACGGTTATAGTCAAACAGGAATACTAATGGTTAAACTTAGGTAATGAATACTATGTCACTATAAAGGCAGTTAACTATGATACACGATAAAGTTCCCTATAAAAGCCAACTAAGTTTGATGTATCCGTAGAAGCATCTTTTACTCGCTTAAATAGATGGTAAGTTTCTCAAATGCATGTATAAATATCAAGATATGAGTGTTATAATTTGTATATACATTTTCTACATATATATAAATACATGTAGGATATAGATATAATGATACAAAATTAACAAACATACACGTTTTATGAATTTATCACATGAAATCATAAAAATCTTATGACATATAATTTATGACATGCAAATATGTCACGTAAAATCATAATATTATATGGTTAAATGAAAGATACCTTTTCTAGTTGTAATATGTTTTAAATCATTAAAACATATGTATTTAATGATAAAAACTTGTGTACGATATATATTATTTTGTTAAAAATGCCAATCATAACTATATTATAAAATTAGAATGCATTTTCATATTTGATATGCGATGTATTCTCCCCCAAAATAATAAAACGTTAAAAAGGGCGGTTACACTCACTTTTGTAGCATGAATTAGGTTCGTTGGTATGAACTTGTCATGAGAAACCGCAACGTGACGTTCTTTAAAGCAAACCACCGAGACTACTAATGTTTCCTAATGACCAAAGGATAGTTTTGGTATTAATTATTAGGTATAGGCTGGTATTTGTTAAAATAAATAAATTGTAGGGATTTATTTTGTTAAAATCATCCCCAATGGACTTATCTTGTAAACTATTCTCAAATTAGGGACTAGAAATATACATTTAAAACTGATTTGGATTTTTAGGACAAAGTTTGTTAATATTTTCGAAGGGGTTGTTTTGCTAAAATATATTAAGGGTTGGGATTGATTTGAAATTCTAATATAAACATAGAGTAGTTTTTATTATATTAAATCAAAGTTTGATATTTGGATCGATTTTGAAGGCAATAATAGATTTTAAATCCATACTTTGTTGAGAGGATAGAATTTGAAATCAATTACAAGGATAAGGGATAATTCGCTTATTTTAATTCATAGTTTGGAAGGTGGGACTGGTTTGTAAGTCTCACACTAAGTGTTGTTTTTAGATGAAATTAAATAGAATTTGAACATCAGTCATCAGTCATCTTCCTAACTTCCTAATTCAACGTCTTGTTCCCGATTCTATTTGAAAAGGAATATGGATGTAAATGGAAAGAAAATGAGAGATGTCAAAGAAAAATCGTATTATGGTGTTTCTTCATTAATATAAGAAAAGTGAGGGAAAGAAATGATTTTGAAGTCATATTTTTCGTTCAATTTTTCCTTTAAAATTGAACGGATCTAAAATAAATAAGAGAAAGTAAAATCTTTAAGCTTCTTTTTTTTTCTCTAACTTGGAAACACAAAAATTTTAATTTTTTTTTATTTTCTCTGAAAAAAAGAAAAATTTTCTTCTTTTTCCGTTTCTTTCTACCAATACTTTCATTCGCCTTCCCAATTGAATTTACAAAAAAAAAAAAAAAAAAATCTGGGAACAAGGCGCAAACTTCAGATCGTGAACGGGAAGAAAAGAAAACGAAGAACACGAGACCCATTTTGTTTCCTTCCATCGCGTCCGACTTCCGACCCAAGAAGCAACGAAAAAAGAAAGAAAAGAGTGGCAAGTGATCGATACCTGCTGCAGCAACAGCGACCGGTGGTAGTGGCGACGATTGTTCAGCAACAGCAGCAAGCGGCGGTGCTTGCTCCGGCGACCTCCGTTGTTTTCGTTTGCTTCACTTCCGGCGAGCGAGAAAGGGGAAGAGGCGACTGGAGGTGGCGATAAGCGGGGGTTGGTGTTGCTCGTCGACACAGGGGGGGAAGACGAGTTGGCAGGCGGTGTTTCTTGGCGGAGGGTGATGGCAGGTGGATGCTGGAACGGAGGCAACAGGCGGATAAGCAGCAGCAGCGTCAGGGTGTTTGACGGTGGTGGGTCACGACAGGGGGTGGAGGAGCTGCCACAGTCGACTGTGGTCGACGTGTTTGCCCGTTTTCTCCTCTCTTCGGCGTCAGAGATTCGAAAGAGGAGGGTGGAGTCAAGGGAGGTAGCAACTCCGGTTGCTGCTGTGACTTTTCCGGTGGACAGGGTGGAACGAGAGGGAGGGACTTCGAGACTTTTAGACCAGAAAATGGGAAGGACCGATGAGATAGTCAATAGTCAAAAGAAGGAAACACTTGAGGGATTAAGACCATCAGCTTTCTAAGATTCGTTTTGCTTCCAGTTGCCAAAGTGAGAAAGAAATCACACGCGATCTGCGTTGATAAATGAGGAAGAGAGGTTAAATTTTCGAGTTTTGCGCAATTGGTCCTGTTATTTGCATTCTAACGAAAACTACCCCAAACTCATATATCTTTAGTAAAGTAGTTTCAGGGAATAGCATGTCTGCCCTTAGGAATATATTCATTCAAAATATATAGATTTATTTAATAAAATCTCCAATATTGCTTTTATTTTATTTTCATTTATTTTTGTTAGGGTAAATTACACGAATGGTCCCTATGGTTTGTGGTAATTTGCACGTTTGGTCCCTAATTTACTTTTTTAACTCGGAAAGTCCCTACTGTTTGTTTTTGTTACGCGTTTGGTCCCTTCTATTTGTTTTTGTTACGGGCTTAGTCCTTGTCTTACCTAAAAAGACTATTATTTGAATATGGAAAAATGATGAGATAGGTAGGGTAAGGTGAGGAGAGTAGGGTTGAGAGTGTGTTTATTTAAATAAATTAAAAAATCAGGGGCAAAATAGTCGTTTTAGGTAAGACAGGGACCAAGCGTGTAACAAAAACAAACAATAGGGACCTTTCGAGTTAAAAAAATAAGTTAGGGACCAAACATGCAAATTACCCTAAACCATAGGGACCATTCGTGTAATTTACTCTTTTTGTTATGATTATTTGGTAATCATTTTTTATTCTTCTTTTTAATCGGTTAAAAAAGTACTTGGCAAATAATAAATTTAAGTTCATGGATTCTAAAAAGTCAAACGAATCAATTTTTAATTTTTTTTATTTGCATCGATTTAAGTGACGTTAGCTTCGAGGCTCGTAAAAATATTTCAAAATTTTTTGGAAAGTGTCACGGCCGTGGTGATTTCAAATATTTAAACGGAATTCAAATCTGATATACGGATCTCTGTGAAACAATGTTCAAAGTTTGACTATACAATAGAATTAAATACTAGGTTGAAGCCTGAGTTTGTAAACATGCTCAAATTTTATTTACGAGTTGTGTAGCTACTTTAAACTTAGATGTGTAGTGTCCGGTAACAGATAAAATCAGGTCTATACTTGTTTAAAACTTAAAATGTGCATAAATTTCTCATACGATCTTTGTTTCGGGCGTTTTTTATATCTACGAAATCCTGAGAACATGTTCTATCCAATTTTATTATCCATCTCCCCCATTTAGTTCAATGGCGAAATTTTGTTATTTAGGACATCAGATCTCACTGATTTTGGAATTGTTTCCTGTTTGATGATGATGATCAGCTTTTCTAGCGTTTTGAGGTATCCTAAAGGCACTTATGAATACCAAGATATCATGCGTATGTAAAAGCATTGAGTTACTATGCCGTAGGTCCTACCACAATGTGGTTCGTAGTAAATTGATTGTTTATAGTTTTAGACCGAAACTTCAGGATGTCACACCTAAATTATCTTAATACATGCAGTATGATTGCACCAAACTAAGGATCTATATCACATAGCATAATTTTTATACACTAGCTAGCGATATTCCGTCAATACGTCCAATTTACACTCTTACAATATTCTTCTTCGTACCCACGGTCTGGTACCTTGCACCGAACCATGCACCATGGTACTCTCATTAATAAGTTACCATAAAATAAAACTAAGTAGTATACAAAAAACATTTATTATGTAACAATTGCACATTCATATAACCTTCTTTTGTCTCATGGCAACATTCTGATATTGCTATCATCTCAATTGCGTATGTCGAACTCATGAACAACACCTCAATCGGCCTATAGGTATATAAAACAATCATCCCATTGACCTAGAGGAACTAAACCATCGTTCCACATCTTATAATAGTAGTAGCCAAGAACTTAATGAAATATAAAAACCTAGGAACCTAGATCTATCAGGTCTTCAGACTGTACCTTGAATCTCCAAGCTTTCATCAAACAAGAACAGACAAAGGGACACTCATAATGATCCTAAACCACAGCCTGCTAAAGACGGACAAACCCGCGACATTCTTGAATACAAAACAGGCGGCAATAATACACCATTCTTGAATTGAATCTCTCATATATGAGAGTTTTATGCACTTTCTCGTCCCTACACGCGTCACCAGAAAAGACTAGAATTTCTAAAAACCTTCAGCAGTTGTCATAAGTCTTCTTTATTATATCAAGGTTTGCACAGTCCATAGATTGTTCCTTAAATGGTTAACTCTCCCTCACTTGGATTCCAATGAACATTTGATGTTTCCCCTTGACTGATCAAACCCCTAATTATCTTATACAGATCATATGATTTGTATTCTATGTGACTATGCATGATACAGAACTAGGTAGAACTTTCCCTTCACTAAAAGAGTATGATCTTCTTAAGGCGAAGACGTGCAACTCCCATACGAATAGTTCATCCTCAATTGTCTTCTTTTCTACATCATCGCATATAACCATCAAGAGTGCTAAAGACCCGACACCATTAAGTTGTTGGTACCTTCGAGTCCCTACAATTAGACATATTATTATGCCCCTTCTACAATATTACCTTGTACTAATTGCTCTCCCCCACTTGGGTTTGAACTCATACATGTTGGTGATGACAAACGAATTACATAGCAACCATGTCCTTGAAATATATCTCCACTATAATACATAGTCCTTGCATCGCTATCACAACCAAGTCGATCGGTTACCTTTAACTTATAAAGGTGGTCCAAAACTCTCACCATAACATCATCTTCCTGCTAAATGTAAATGATCCTCGTAGAAAATCGTTCCTAAGTCGGAATTGGTTTAAGTTCTCACACATAATACAAGATCAAATAGATAGTCGATACTAATTCTAAGGCTATGCACCCAACTCATATAACTTCCCAACTTGGTTAGGTGATGTGGTGCAGATTATACCTATCTAGTTTTAAATTTATAACCTAATGAACCAAACTAGCTAGAATGCACCTAGGCAGTGTACCTAGTCGAATTATAGAATAGTTTATGTAATTATGGTATCGATCACAGGGAACAGTATTTAATTAATAAAATAAGTATTTAAAGCTAAACTAAGAAAAATAACTAAAATGAGGGTTTTTTTATCTGATTTTACAAGTTCAGAAAAACTTAAGCACTCAACTAAAAACGAATTTAATCAATATATTAAAGATACTTTCATTTAGTTTCGAATCCACCTTTTCCTATTGTTAGTTCTTATTTATGGATTAATGAAGTTGGTTACCAAGTTATATGTAATTAGAAATTTAAGTCCAAATTTACTAATATTTTCATCAATCCATTAACTACCTAGTATGGTCATACACAAACAAAACACAAAATTAGTTATTCATTATAGATGGGTTTTGTGAGATTTATCTAAAAAACACAATTATGTTCTCTAGCATAGTTAAATTTGTTATTTTTATTACTTATCTAAGATTTGGTCGATCCTAGCTCTAGCAATTTAATGGTCACTAAATCATTAAGTAATCAAGTTCATGTAATTTAATGGTCACTAAGCTACACTAAACTTGAATTTAAGCAAAAAAGTTACAAACTTTAATATGCTAGTTAATGATAATTAAACACATGCATAAACCAAATTCATATAATCCATAAAGTAAGAAACTCACTCATAGTTTTAGGTTTCATCTAACTAAACGAAAGCAAGGGTTTTAACCCACAATCATAGTTGATGAACACATAAACATAAGGTAAACTAAGCTAAACATCATTAAACTAAGCGAAACGAATGTTTAGATACGAATCCTTGCTCCAATCGACTTCCTAGCTTCAAAATCGACCCCAAAGGGTTCTTAGAAAGATTTTTGTCGCAATACTACTCCAGAAAGTCACCTCCAAGTCCCCCAAATTCATCAAAATGTTTGGCTATATATACTTGCCTAAAATCTGGCCACCACGATGTGGTAAAGGAACCACATCATGGTCTTCATGTTTATCCCGTATTCCCCAAGCCATCGTCAAGTATCGTGAAGATTCCATTCACCACGTCATGGTGGCATCACCACATTGTGGTTATCGAGAATCAACATTTTATCAAAAACATTAAAGTTGTCTAAAATTGTATCTAGTTTTTAGATCATTTTGAATCACATCAATCGGAGTTACAAGTCATGAGATATGGTCAAAATACTGATAAGATATCAAGTTGTACAACAACATCCTTCTTGTGTCTTCTTCTTGCCTAAGCTCTTCATTCCTGCTTCTAGCTTCCATATTGCTTCGGAGAATGTCTTTTACACTTCATAACAACTATTAAACATAATAAGTACTTTTTTCTATAATAAGCATAAATATAGCTAATAATATTAAAATATGATGTAAAATATATATGTAGATATGCACATATCATTAGGCTATAAATGTTACCAGGTTGGCTATTCATACCCGAACATATGTAATTAGGATAGAATAACCACACTAACATGAAGAAAACATACTAGCAACATATTGATTAGTGTGATCATAATGATGACCATAGGGACATATTGTGACAACCCGATATTTCAACTCTTTGTAACGACCAAAGTGGGTCAAGTATTGTAACCGCTTCTGAGTAATAAAATTTACTTTCATAATAAAATGTACAAATAAGTCCTATTTAATTTCCTTCTATGATTAAATGTATTTGAACCATGATCGTACGTGAAAAGAACGCCCAAATCCGACTTCATTTAGCGAAGTTATGATTTTTCCAAGTTCGATTTAGCAACAGACAGCTAAAAACTCGAATCAGAAATCGAGCGACTTTTGGCCGGAATGACCTAAACGAGAATCGAAGGTCTCGACAATGGTATTCCAGCGGTAAAAAGTCTGGCAAAAACCGACATCAGATAAAGAAGTTACGAATTTTCAAAGAAATTCCTTAAACACGATAGATTTTATATTTAATAAAAAAATAATTTCGGAATTTGCCGACGGAGTCTAAACGAAAGTTGAAGAGCGTAGTCTCACCTACGCGAGGATATAAAGACCATCGAAAACGGAGTTCGTATGAAGAAGATATGAATTTTTGAAGTTTATTAAATAAATTAATTATTTATTTTATTCAAAATTCGGATATTATCCGAAGGGGAGTCAGCATCCGAGTT